CTTATTGTAATTCATAGGATCTCACTGAACCACAGGTTGGTAGAGATTAATCCGCTGGATGATGTTACAGAGAATGAAAATTAGTCCCAAAGCAGTAGAGTGATGTACCTGAAGTTTAAAGCAAGTGTCTGAGGCCAGATTTGAACTCAGGTCCTCCTGATTTCAGGGCCATCGAGTCACCTAGCTGTCCTGAGAATTGGTATTCTAAAGAGCGTTGGAGCTCTGGAGTTTGAGGTTCTGAGTTCAATTTTTTTTTTTTTCCCAACCTGAGTTCAATTCTTGCCCCTACTGCTTTTTTTTTTTTTTGCCTCTGTGACCTTGAGCAAGTTCTTTTACTTCCCTGGGCCCTAGTTTCTTCATCTTTGAAATGAGGAGATTGGATTGGATAGTCGCTGAAGTCCCTTCCAGCTCTAGCACTAGGATCTAGAATTCTCCAGAGCCAATATGCCAACCCAGCTCCTCCAACCCTGAAGCCAGGACTCTTCCCATTAGGAGATGTTGTTTCTCTAGTGCAGTTAATGCCTCTCTTGAAGGACTGCTACACAATGGGGCAGTCAGTATGACAATTGTCTGTCTACCAGGCACCAACCATGATTCAGCCTGATTTCTTCTCTTTTCTTTTCTTTTCTTTTTGAGTTTACCTGGGGGAAAAGTGCAGCTGGATGAAAAATTTTGGTCAGTGGTACATTTTTTTTTCCTACTGTCTTGCAAAGAGGTTTCTGTTTTAACTCAGTCTTCTCAGCTTTCTGCTGAATTTTTTCTTAGCTGGCCCTATCAGAGAGGAATGTGGCACAAGGTGCTCAGAAAGCAGGGAGACATGGAGAGCAGGAAGGATAGAGGAGCTGGTGCTGGAGGAAGGAACGTGGAAGCTGAGATTACAGATTATACGCGGCTTGTTGGTCCCAGGGTGAGCTTGGTTTTTTCCAAAGCCTTCTTATAAACCAAATAAAAAGGCACCCCCTTTTCTCTAGTTCCCAAGAGAATTCGTTAACACCAGAGGATATGATTACAGAATTAGAAGAAGAGGACTTCCATACTAATTATAAGGCTAATAGGCTGTTATTGAAGGACCTCCATCTGTGGCCAAGTAAACAAAATCACACTAAACCAGAGATTCTTAATCCTTTTTGTGTCATGGACCCCTCTGCAGTCCAATGACGTCTATGGAACCCTTCTCAGAATAATGCTTTTAAATGAATAAAATAAAATGCCTAGGATTGCAAAGGAAACCAATTCTTTTTTTTTTTTTAGCTAGGCAATGGAGTTAAGTGATTTGCCCAGGGTCACACAGCTAGTAAGTGTTATGTGTCTGAGGCCGAATTTGAACTCAGGTCCTCCTGAATCCAGGGCTGATGCTCACAAAACACTTTAAATGCCAAGTTATGCAGTAACTCATTTTCGTCTTTGCAGCTAGATGACGCAGTGGATAGAGCTGCCCCAAGGAAACCAATTCTGTTGAAATACAGTTATTTGATTTTTTTAAACCAGCCCATGGGTTCTACATTAAGAATCCCTGAAAATAGTGGGACATTACTTCTCAACTTTCTGTCATCAATCAATTAAACAATAAGCATTTAAACACCTACTGTGTGCAGGTTCTAGGGATGCAAAGACAAAAATGAAACATCCCTTGCCCTGGTGGTGTTTATGCTGTGTCAGGGGCGATAATACGTAGCTCTCTCAGCACGCCAGTTTTAGTGATGCTTTGAGGGTCTAGACCCGAGACGGTGGTTCCCACAGGCATCTTCAAAAGTTCAAAGAACTCCATGGAATTCCCTGTGCACATATTCCCATTGGGAGAAAAAAACTTTCCCAACTACTGGAGGATTTTCCTCCAGTGCCTCCCTTTTCTTTGACCAAACACATATATGTGCACCAAAATTCACCAGAACTGATGGAAAAGATTGATGAGAAATATTGTAAGTAAATTAGTAATTCATACCAGAAGCCAGGGATGTTTTGACACATTATATACTTCTCAACTCTTTGCAATCTGCCTTCTATACTACCTCAACCTAGCTTCTGAAACTATTCCCTTGAGGGCTCCTACCGGCTCCCTAATCACCAAATCCAAAGACCCTTTCTCAGTTTTCTTTCTTGTTTATCTCTTTTTCAGTATTTGGTGCTGTTAGTCTTGAAACTTGTCCCTCCTTTGGCTTCTGCGAAACCACATTCCTCCCTTCCTGACTGTTCTGTCTCCATCCCCTGGCTCCGAAGTCACTTCATATCTAGGGCCTTCCTTTTCTTCTGTCACCTCTCATTGTGTATGTCTCTGGAGTTCTGGTCTCGGGCCCCTTCTCTCTGAACCCATTCTTCCTTGATATTCTGATTGACTCCCACTGACTTCAACTCTCTCCACTGTGGAAGTCTATAGCAAACAATCTCTCTCTTGGGTTTCCACTTATATCCTAGATATTTCCACCTATATATCCTGCTAGGACCTCAAACCTAGTTTGTCCAATATATCAACTTATTCTTTCTGATCTCCCCAATCTATGTCCATGGCATCACCACTTCCCTAATTACTGAATCCAGAGGAAATCCTGGAGTTTTGTGGTTTTTTAAAAATTCTTCCCCTTCCCCTTTATCACATTTATCTACAGAGCCACAGAAATTATGGTATCATAGGAATGCAAAAACAACAATATACTAAAGCACAGGAAATTCATATATAATTATCAGGGTTCCTCAAGTGAATGGAAAAGGGCTCAGAAGGTATTGTCAAACATTCAACTACCACTGACTTTGTGTAAAGTCATTGTTGTCTGAGCTTTTCAGGAATTGCTATTCTCCAATGTGTGTCATAATTCTCACCTCCCATGTCTTTTCTTCCCTTGACTGGAATGCCATACACCCTTCTAAACACAGCTCTGGACCCAGAATTGAGAGAAAAAGGTCCTTCAGAGACCCAAGTAACTCACAGCACCTGAGGCAAATGCCCGGCGATTCACTCCTTAGATCTCTGCTCATACTCTTACTGACTCTTGTTTAGCACATAAGTTCTAACACACCTGAGTATATGGTTGTCTAGACCATAGCTTATTAAGAGCAGCAACTAGAATAGAGGCAGGGCTGTTATAAATAGGCAACTGACATTGGGAGGAGCTATAGCCTGACTATGGAAGGAGACAGAAAAACTAAAAAGCAGACATAGAATTGTTATATTTCATAGGGCAATAAGAGATGTTCTTAATGATCATGCCAAATGTTAAAAAAAGGAAGCTAAATCACATTAGTTCCAAATCACTAATAATTAGAGAAATGTAAATTAAGCAACTCTGAGGTTCCAGTTCACACCCATCAGATTGGCTAAGATGACAAATAAGGAAAATGACAATTGTTGGCGGGACCATGGGGAAGCAGGTGCACTAATGTACTGTTGAACTGATCTAGCCATTCTGGAAAGCAATTTGGAATTATGCTTCAAAGGCCACCCAACTCTGCATACCCTTTGATCCAGTGATACCACTCCTAGGCCTATATCCCAAAGAGAACAAAAAAGGAATAGGGACTTACATGTCTAAAATTACTTATAGTGGCTATTTTTATAATAACAAATATCTGAAAACTCTATTGGGGAAGCGCTGAACAAATTATGGTATGCAAAAGTAATAGAATGTTGTACCACAAAAAATAAACAGAGGGTTATAGAGAAATCTGGGAAGACATGTGTGAACTAATGCAGAGAGAAGGAAACAGAACCAGAAGAATCATTTATACAGCTACAAAACATTATAAAGAAAAACAACTTTGAAAGACTTGAGAACATTGATCAATGCAATGACCAACGGTGATTCCAGAGGATTGATAATGGAGTGTGCTACCCACCTTTTCACAGAGGTGATGGAATCAAGGTATAAATATATACCAAATTTAATACCAAAATAATACACAATTTTTCAGATACAACCAATGTGAGAATTTGTTTTGCTTGACTACACATACTTGTTACAAAGGTTTTTCTTTTCTTTTTTCCAATGTGTGATATAGAGAGGATGAAGAAGAAAATAAATATGTTAACAAAAATGCACATTTTATTTGGTATCTGTTAAGTTCAGAATAAGAATAAATGCATTTTTAAAATATATTTGTCTTCTGTTTGAGAAATCATTTAAATGTACAAAATATTTTAGAAATATTCCATAATAAGTTAATTAAAGTAAAATATATTTTAGTGTTTCAAGGCTAAGCTTCATTTATCCGGAAAATTCACTTCTGTGAATAAAATAATGATTGAGAAAAGAAGTAATACTATATTATAAGAGAAAAGCTGCATAGACCATTGGAATAATCTTTATGGACCCCAAATGGTCCTCAGAGCACACTTTGAGAACTATTTGCTTTAGAGGTCACTTTATCCAAACTCTTGCCCCAAAACAGGATGACACCTAACCCATTGCAGAGAAATATATGTTTATCTTGGTTTTGAATATCTCTAGGGAAAGAAATTCTACCATTTTCCTTGAGCACATGTTAGGGACTAAGAAAAAAAAGTCTCCTGAATGACAGCAAATTTAGAATTTTTGTTTTTATTACACAGTAAGGGACTAGTTACTTAAATCTATAACATAACAAAATATAACATAGCACAGCATAGTATGACACGACATATATAATATACTATGATAATATGATATTGAGCATATTTTAAAAATGTATTTTTTATTCTAAACATCATAATGATATAAGATGATACACAATATATGTGATATAATGTAATATAATAGAATGTAACATAATATGATATAACATATGACTTAATATGAGATATAGTATTTTATAATATAAGATATTATGATGTGATGCAATGTAATATAACATAATATAACACAATATGTGATTTAATGATATAATATATTATTAAGTGACATAATATAACATAACAATATATTAACAGCAATATAGGATACTGAATAACAATAGTTCACACTCATAAAGTACTTCCTAGTCACCAAGTATTTTCCACACCTTACCTCATTTGAAGGGGAAAAGGACCTCACCTGGTATGTATTGTCAAAGCTGTCATACATGAACCGCGTGATCAGAGATGTCTTCCCAACTGTAAAATAAGAAGATATTTCAGCTAAAGCATTCCAAAGCTAAATTCTTTATTTCTTTTTTTTTAAACACCTTTTCAGTCAGAGAAATACCAGTCCTTGCTGGAGCTAAATCCCAAAGGTGAAGAAATGAATTGAATGATGAAAACCAAAAACATCTATCCCACCTCCACCACAGTTCAGAGCATTTAGAGGGGAGTCCTGCAAAGACATGCTAAAATTTGTCCTAAAAACCTCTAGCAACTGAGAGGCTCTCAGAGTTAAGGGAATGGTCCTTTCCCTGAAATCATAAGGTTTTTCCGAAGAATGCTCAGTCTGGAAGAAACTCATAAGGTTCATGATCATCCAGTTTGGAAGCCAACTAAGTCATAGTATTTCTGAGCTGAAAGAATAATTTTACCCTTTCATTTTACACAGAAAGAAACGCAGGCCCACAAAAGTGAGATGACTTGCTCCAGGTTCTACAGGTAGAGGTCAGTGGCAAAGTCAGAATTCAAACTCGGATCCTCGGACTCCAAAGCTAATGTTACTTCCACTCTAACATTAGTTCTGCAACTTTTTTTTTTTTGCTCCCGATACAGTATTCTTAGGCAGGAAGAATCACAGCACGCTAAATGTTTAAGTTGGTGACATTCTAGGAGAACACACACTTCCCTTCAAAAATATCAGCCATCTTGTTTGAGTTTAAGGTATGAGGTGTTCTGAGATTAGAGTCTGTTGAATTACAGACAAGTTTTTTAAAAATTTTGTGAATATTATGTGTACTATACCATATGTTTTGGGCATGTAAGATGCATATTAAGCAAAATTATTTATAAACTTTCTCTTATTTACAATAACATAATATCCTAAATTTCATAGAACATACTGAGCAAAACACATCATGACCCTTGAGAACCACTGTTCCATGGTAACCCACATACTCCTCCAGAGAAAGTACCTGTTTTCAGTAGAAGTGTAGAAAAGAATTCTGCCTTCATTCAATTTATTACCAGTGAGACCTCCATGAAATAGAGGCAGGAAAAGGAAAGGGCTTAGCTAATTCTGGTTTGAACATGGCATTTAAGCAAGTTGAGCTCTCTTTACCAAACCAGATTCAGTTAGTTGGGAACGAGTGTTTTCTAAAGTACAATAGAACTTAAATAGGAAGCAGGGCTCAGGTTCTGGCAGCAAGGTAAGTGGTGAGGTGGACAGAGTTTGGGGCCTGGAGTCAGGAAAGACCTGAGTTCAAATCTGGCCTCAGACACTTGCTAGGTACGTGACCCTGGGAAAGTCACTTAACCCTGTTTGCCTCCGTTTCCTCATCTGTAAAATGTGCTGAAGAAGGATATGGCAAACCACTCCAAAACCTTTGCCAAGAAAACCTCAAATGGGGTTCAACAAAGAGTCAGACTGAACAACAACAGAGCTCCGGTCCACGACTTTTTTTAAGATGGAAATAATGCCAGGAAAATTATTTTGGGGGGAAGGGGGTACTTCTTCCTTGACAAAAAACAGTCTTGGCTCTCAAGGAGCTTATGGACTAACTAGGGGAGACAACGTGTAAACAACTATGTACAAATAAGATGCAAACAGTATAAATTGGGGATAATCACAGGGAGGACATAAATGATTCTTTTTTCTTTTTTAATATCTCCCTGCCCCCACCCAACAGCTTTATTCTTGTTAGGTTCAGGGCTTATATTCATTTGCACAACACATTAAAGGTCTAGGCCAAGTAGGCTAGAGAATGGGGCAATGGCAAGAACGCTGAATCTGGAATCAAAAGACCTGACTGAGTTCTAATCTGAGCTGTGCAACTTCTATCTCTGTGGCCTTGGGCAAATCATTTAATCATCTTGGGCCCATTCCCTTACCGGAAGAATTAGTGAGACCTAATCTAGATCATCTGCAAGGTTCCTACCAATTCTAAATCTTGTTCTGCAAACAAATGCTTTCCTGAAGTCTGATTTGGGGAAGTTGTACAGTCGTGTCAGACTCTCCATGACCCCATTTGGGGTTTTCTTGGCAAAGATACTGGAGTGATTTGCTATTTCCTCCTCCAGCTCATTTTGCAGATGAGAAAATTGAGGCAAACAGAGTTAAGTGACTTGCCCAAGGTCACATAGCTAGTGTCTGAGCCCAGATTTGAACTCAGGAAGATGAGTCTTCCTGACTCCAGGCCTGGTACTCTCTGCCCATATGACCACGGACAAAGCACTTAATGTCTCAGTGGCCTAGACACTTGAGAACATAACTTATAGAGAAGTTGCTTGTCTTCATCACTGGGGGAAGTTTCCATACTGGGAATTCCCCACATCTGATGAAATCATAAATCTGTACTGAAAAATAAAATAGACTATTCTTGAAAATCAACATTATATTTTAAAATTCTTATGTATAACATACACATATGTATACATATATACATAACACTTTTTGTTTATATGTACAGGGGATTCCAAAGTCTTTGTGAAATTTTAAGCTATTGAGGCTTTAGGTTATTAAAGTTTAAAACTGCACTAAGATTTTTGGGACACTGTGTAATGTACTCATATTGACTTGGAAATATTTATCCTTAACTGATCATAATCTGGAAACCAATTTGTCTTTTTGTTTGTTTGTTTGTTTGTTTCATTATTCCAAGACTGGAATACTTAAGGAAGATAAATTTCCCACAAGAAGTCCTCTTTATCCAATGAGAAAAGAAAAATAAATTATGTGGGAAAAATATTTGCTTTATAGACTACAGATACATAGGAACCAAGATATCTCTTGGGAAGTCCCATCAAAGTACAGAGTATGGTTGGAGGAATTAGATGATGATTTATCTCTGCTGTGCAGGCTGGCTAAGGACCAAGAGGACCAGGGGATGGTTATTGCTGGATTTCTAGAGGCCTGGGGTGACTCTGCAGGAGGAGGATTATTGTAAATCTCCTGAGACAGATCAGAGCAAGCCTCCAATGAGAGCCTCACTACTGGGGTGGAAATGGGATATTAGGTCATCTCCCTAAACCAGCTCCTAAGGGACAAATGTGTGTTCTCAGAATGGTGATTATGCCATGAGGTAACCAGAAGCATTAACAAGGGCCTCCTTCATTGTCATGTAGGGAGAGGGAAGATATTTTTTTCCCCAGGCTGGAATAAAGCACTAGTTTTGTGGCTGACAGATACACATAATAAAGTCAGAAATATGGCTTGGTGCTTGAGACAATGATCTTGCCTCATTACTTACCTTTTGTTCTGACTCAAATTCATTTGCATGTTAAGACAGAAAGGATCTTGGGAATTTCTAACTCTAAGTGAGATAGAAAAGGGCTGCTATCTCCACCCCAGACATGGGTGTTGAATAGAAGACTTAATCTTAGCCTGGGGTGGGAGGAGGGGATTCTGTCTGACTTTTGTTAACTGAATGTGGTGGCCATATCTAAAGAGCTGTCTGCCTTTCCTTATCAGAGAACTATTTTCTAGCCACTACATCCAGATGGCTGACAGATGGGGATGAGCCTAAAAGCTGGTCCCAGGGAGAAGTGCCCAGCAGAGACTACCTGCCCAGCAGTGGCCACAAGTAACGAACACCAGCTGAGACCAAGCACTCCTCAGTCACCAGTGATGAAGAAACCATGGGGAGCTTTTATCGTGCTTAGCGGAAACATCCGTATAATGACATCACCAAAAGACATCAGTGGTCCTGTAGCATCAGAGACTGAGTTTCTCCTCCACACATACGTGGGTATGACCCTCATATGTCATCCCCATACATGCTTACTTTTCCCAAAGCTGATTTGGGGGGAGGGGGGAGCTCTATTACTACTTTTCTTACTATGTTACTTCATTAAATAGCTTTATTTTGAACTAAGTACATCCCCTTTCTAATTAGAAAAAAATTTAATTCATCACATGAGCTATGGTTTTGAGGATATGAGAACCCATAGAATAGCTTGAACATAGGGTAGTTATTCTGAAGACCCTATCCATGTGTGAGAGAGGCACACCCCAGGTTTTATATCCACATGCATATTTTTTTTGGTCTGGCATGTCCCCCAGAGATGCTTTTAGACAAAGGTATCAATTTCCTTTCAGAGATAATGCCTTGCCTATGAAAATGCCATCAGACTTGGTATATGAAAATTGCTACTTTTCACTTACAATGCAATGGCCTGTGGAAACATTTCATGTAATTCTAAAGTGAATCATAAATAGATTATATTTATATAACACCTTAAGGTTCACCAGGCACTTCACGGGCACCACGATGCTGCAAGGTACAGCTTTCTCTCTCTTTTATAGAGAGGAAAATAGGCTCAAAGAGATTAAGATTCACCCAAGGTCACAGAGTCAATAAATGGCAGACCCAAGGTTACAAGCCTAAGACCCTAGTGTTTTCTGACACTAAAGCCAATATTCTTTCCACTAGAACATGTTTCCTTGTTTAGGTGTTTTCAGCTGACTCTGGGTCTCATCCTCCACATGAAATACCAGGAGATTGGGTCCAGTTAAAAGTAAGAGGTGCTGCCAGTCCCAGAGCCTCCATGTTGCTAGAACAGCACATTATGTTACCAGAATTTTCAAGGTCATCTAGGGAATTGATGGAAGTAGAAAGACTGCTGATGGAATGATTTAGTGATTGTAGACTGGCCATTATTTGGTCCTATGAAGTGGGTGAGTAGAATGTCTTTCTTGAAATGGTCAGGTTAGAGGAGTATTTAAAGGGAGAGATCATAGAGCAGAACATTGGCCCTGGAGTCAGGAGAACCTGAGTTCAAATCTGGCCTCAGACACTTGCTAGCTGTGTGATCCTGGGCAAGTCACTTAACCCCCATTGACTCTAAAAAATTTTAAAATAAATAAATAAAATTAAAGGAGGAGGTCAGTAGTGACTGGGAAGCTCAGGATGGTGGTACCCACATAGTTGGTTGGTATGTTTATTGCGATATTAGAGGGATTTTTGCAGGTTTCTGGGTTGGACTGAGCTGGTATAATAGATACAGGACATAATTGTGGTGTAGTGGATAGAGTCAGT